CTTCTTCATTTTAAGCTGTTGTAAATTACTTATGTTTCCTGACCAGCAATCCGAATCCCCAATGTATCGCTGCAAGATGTAGACAATTTAAAGAATTGAGAAGAAAATACTTGTAAATTGTTGTCAGTTTTAGCGCCGATGTTGGACAATTCCACTGTTGGAAAAAGCATGTTTCACACACGGAGGAAGGATTTAAGAGGTGGAAGAAGAGTCCTCGCAGCAATGAGCAGTTCTCAAATTGAATTTGAGAGGCACAAGCTGACAAGTGTAAATAAATTCATGGCTGATGACAATTAACAAGGAAGGGTCTTGCAGTTCTGTTGAAATTACTTTGCCTTCGCTGAGTGTTAGATCACATGATCCTAGGGTTTTAATATTCATTCAGCAACATCCTGCTTTGAAATATTCATCCAATATCAGTCAGTTGACAGTGAATATTAAAGCTATTGAAATGCTGAATGCTGATGCACATTTTGATTTATTTTGATTTGTCAAAACTTTTTTTTAATGCTACTTTATGTATAAAATGGTAAATCGACTTTAGCGTTTTTTCTAGTCTTCTGACTACTCAAAGCTCTTTTACACCGCAGGTCACACCTACACATTCACACACTGATGGTAGAGGCTGATATGTAGTGAGACCATCAGAAGTAACTAATCCCATTCATACACATTCATACACTGCCGACGAAGCAGCGGGAGTAATTCAGGGTTAAGTGTCTTGCCCAAGGACACATCAGACGTGGCTGCAGGAGCTGGGGATCGAGCCCTCGACCTCCCAGTTGAGAGATGACGACTCTACCAACTGAGCCACAGCCGCCCCGTCCTTGAGCATGTTTTGCTTGTTTGCAGCTGAAGCGCGCTGACCTTGCCTGGTCAGAAACAACAGATGTGTGCTGACATGTCTCCATGCAGGAGGATTTCTTCACTAAAGAACCGTGTTTTCAGTACTACTGCTTTCATGAGGTTTGATTGCTAACTGGAAGACTTTAAATGTTTGAGGCAATTTGAAAACCCATTTTCCTCAAGCCATTATCTGCTGTGGCAGAAATGGAACACTCAGAACCTTTCTGTATTAATTTAGCGCCGTGATCAGACACTTGTCAACTTTTTAAGAAATAATAGACGTCTTACGGCCAATCAGAATCAAGTGCTTACTCAGGCCATGGCAATTACACAGTTATTTGCATTTTAGAAGAAAACGTTATCTATCATAATGAGTGATAGAGCCTTTCATTGGACTACTGTTTGCGTTTGCCTGAGAACGCTTTCTGCTCAGAGGACGATGTATGTCAATCCCAAAAGAGGAAAAAAAAGACAGACAAAAGCCTGGAGTAAATCTGCAACTGATTAAACTAATGAAAAGTGGTCAATTAATTAGCATCTCATTGTAAGACAGTGTTGTAACCCAGATAATAAAGCTAATGTAGTTTTTTTTCAATTATTCCACACTGCAGAAGACTGACACCAAATCTATCCGCTCCCCCTCGAATCAGCCCCGCTCTTCTCTTTCTTTCAGCATTTATTTCAACTATCAATTTAGCAATCCAATTAATGTCATTGCAAATTATAAATCTGGTATATATAATAGGAATGATTCAGCATTTTCAGAAAATACTTTTACTTACTTTTTGAGTGTTTAAAAATGTGTCTCACATGCCTGTGCCTGTGAGAGCAATGAGGCAGTTAGCCTAGCTTAGCATAAAGTCTTGTTGTTTCTATTGCCTGAGTATATGTGCCTGTGTGTTTCTAAATGTTTTTTTATATTGTTTTTACCTGGCTGCAAACCAAACGTCCCCTCAGGGACAAATAAAGCTGAGATTGAAAAACACTGGAAGAGAGAGAGAGAAAAAAAAGGAGTACCAGCACCTCTAAATCTCTATATGTCTTAATGTGAGCAACACATTTTCTGTCTTGTTTTTCAGTTTTAATTTAGGAAAAACTTGATCGATTTTTGCAAAGACCCTAATTTAATCTGATCCAATATCCTTTGGATGAACTGGAACGGCAGGCACTCTGTGGGGTGTCTGTGTGTTCAATAAGTGGTAAGAGGAAGCAGGGAGTCAGCCTGGGTTAGCATAGAGACTGAAAGAAGGGAACAGTATAGTTCTCACTCTGTAGATAAAAATACAGCTGCCTTTAAAGAGTGAAATGTGTACAATACATATTGAATAAGCTCCATAAAGAAGTGGTTAAGAACAGCTTGATTGATTTGCACTAGTACCTGAATTTGACCTGATCTAACATCTTTGCAATGAACTTGAACACACAGGTATTGTTGCCAATCATGTGTGTCCATCACCAGTCAAGTCAAAACCTGCCCACATCAGTGTATTTGTGCATACAGTTTGTTAAAAAAAAAGTTTATCTAAATACTTTTGGCTATAGACTTTATATGCATGTGTGTGTGTGTGTGTGTGTGTGTGTGTGTGTGTGTGTGTGTGTGTGTGTGTGTGTGTGTGTGTGTGTGTATGCGTGCGGGTGTGTCAGCAGTAAACTCTAGTTGAACTATACTTTGTCTTTTTACTGCCAATCTTCTCGCTTTCTGACAGTGCTCTGTCGTCAATTCAGGAGGTTGATGTTTTCCCGAGATTGTCAGCAGGTCTGATTCGTGCTCAAGAATGCCTACAGCCTTCCTCAAGGGAGGTGTCACAGTCGGACATGATCCTCCACCCTCCTCTTTCACAGAGACACACAGACCCCGCAACCAGCAACCTCATCGCAAACACTCACACATAAAAGAGAATAAAGATAGACATCTGTACAAACTTTGCTTCACACACAAACTGAATCTCTTTCAGCTTTACTCTATCTTAATCTCTCGCTCTTTTCCTCCGTTTTTTTTTTTTTTTTTTTTTCCCCACAGCCCTGTCCTCACATATAGACACACAAACACACGCACACAAAATGACTAAATTGACTTGTCAGCTTCAATCAGACCAGGAACAAAAGGATTCCTGCCAGTTTGAAGCTGACATCATTAATGGGTTTGGGAGCGGGCACGCTCTGAAGACAAAGGGAGTGCAAGGTCGGGCCGACTTAAAATGCACTTTCATTTTGGCAGGGACGTTAGCTTTTTGATTTCAGCCCCTTTACGCCAACATCTTTTTTTTGTGAGTGGCTCTAACTTTCATTATCACTGGGAACAGAGGGGGTGTATGAGACTTTGTTGTGCTGATGGAGAGGAATGTGACATCCATAATGCATTTCCTATTAGGGGATGCCACGCATGGACACACCTGGCCACGTGTCAGAGAGAGAGAGGGATGGACAGGAAGAGGATGAGAATAAACGGGCGCTTGGAAGTGGGAGAGAGGGATAAATAGTCGCAGTAGAAAACACAGCGAGCGGGGAGAAGCTCGAAATGAAGGAGGACCGTGCACTTTGGAGAGATTGAGTCAAGGGTTGGAGAGCCTTAGAACATAATGTACAGCTCTTCATGAGACACATGAAATCCACACATGAACCAGCTTTCCTGGTGCATTGTAGCAGCAAAGCTTTGAACATTTAAATCCTCTCCACTCACTTCTGTGACTTCATCCATCCTCATTTGCCTGTGTTTCCTGTGCTCCGTGCCCATCTGCCTCCCCTGTTGCAGCTTTCATTCTGACCCTGGATAAAGATGAAGTCCCTCATCTCAAATGGTAATAACTTTGGTCCATATGCACACAGCCATCACAAATTGATTACTGTGTAATGCTGCGGGCGCCCAGCGTCTCTCTCCCTCTCTTTCACTTTCTCTCCCTCAATCTCTCTCCTCTTCCATCTCATGATTTTGCGAAAAGGCCGACTTTTCATGTCCAATCAGTCTGTCAGTAAAAACCACCCCTGGGTGCATCCAAAACATAAACAAGCACATTCTGAAGGATCTCTGCCATGATCTTTCTCAGGTTCTTTCCCTTTTCCACCATCTTTGACTAGCACTCACTTGAAACTAGCTTCTCCTTCACCTGTTTTACCCTCAACCACTCATTCCCTTTTATTCTCATTCTAATTATACCATTACATTACCATTTCTATTCTCTCATTTGCATATTCTGCTCTCCTTGTCTCTTATTCTTCTCCTCTCAGAATTCTCTTTTCTCCCCACCTCTTTCTCTCTCTCTCTTTTCTGTCACCCTTCCTCTTCTCAGCCACTGAATATGTTTTCCCTTTTTTTTTTTTTTTTTACCGCACATAAACAGACAGTGCCCTTGGGGATGGGTTGGAGAGCTCTGTCTTTGTTTGTGTGCACCTCTAACTAACTCTCCATCTGTGGGGAGCCAAGCCAAAGCCCTGCACTGCAAGACAGATAGCTGGCACTATCCCAGACTCTTCTCTAGCTGGCCCCATATCTTCACCCCCACCTCTCAACTTCTTCTTCCTCCCAGGCTGTAGTTTCTCCCACAGAGGCAGTTGTCAGCCACCCTCAGGCAGCCAGTCAGATACTGTAGTCGTCAGACCCCTACTATTCCTTTTCCTTCAAAGCTTTGAACCAAAATCTTCCTTAGCTTCCAATGGATATTCAATCCTTTACAAGCCATATGCTGAGGATGTTCGTCACTGGACTTTTCTCAGGTTCATATCTCCATCCAACCTCAGGTTCACCTCTGATACAAGCTCACTTTAGAGGCTAAATAACCAATAGCACCTTCCATGTATTTAGTCACATCAAAGAGCGTTCAAAGGGAGAGGAACGTCAGCATTAGCATGAGCTCCAACTGAGAAGTTCAATCGCATAATCTGCCCAAGGCTGTAACTCAAAACTTAAAAAGGCTTGTAATATTATATTTTGTTTTTCTTTGACTTGCCCAGTGAAAACTTTATTGTCTTAATAAAATGAGACTGTATGCATGTAAGTGCCTGACTTCAGCACACGCTGTGTGCTTCTTACATGATACATCATTTGAATCATCAAATGCACCATAGTATCTAAGCTGAATTTGTATCTCCCCTGGGCATTTAGCAACAAAGTGATGAAAAATCTGCTTTTACAGACAGAAGAAAAGTATTAAACTCACCATTGTCAGGCTCAGACTTCCTGTCATGTTCAGTGTCAGTAAGAGAGAGGGCCGAGTTGGCGCGGCTTGTGAGACAAGAGCTCTGTTCGGACTTCAGGCCGCGCATCCACATGTGCTGCATGCCGTGAGCAGGAGAGGGGTCCACCTCTGGCTCGGTGTCCACGTCGGAGCCCACGCCCAGGGAGTAAGCACGGCTGTGGATGTGAGCGGCCGGTCCAGTGCACAATGCCTCCTCCTCCTCCTCCTGACGCTGCTGCTGCTGCTGCTGCTGCTGCTGTTGGTGGATGTGATAGTCTGGGCTCCTCAGCTGTCCACTCTTACAGAAGTCTAAATCTAAGGGTAGTGAGAGACATGCAGAATTAGATCATGCAGAAAGCACTGCAAAGTCTCTAAAGCCAGCATGTGTTTATTTGCTTCAGCAGTTAAGCAGACCAGGTGTTTGTCAGGGACGTGAAATTACAAGCCAAACACTGAACATCACCCAAATTATGTCAAAAGACAGGCTGTTATTTGAGCAAGCATTTATTAAGTTCTGCAGCAGAAATCCAAATCAAAATGCCACCCCAGATTGTTCTTAACCATTTGCAGTGAAGCTATATCCTGTTGGAGCTACCTGATGTGTGTTATCGAGCTGGAGATGTATTGAACTGCTGCTCAAACAGAGCACTGATCTCATCTATATTCTCCTTGGTGGGGTGAAGAGATCAGATAAAGATCAAACCTTATTAATATTGACTCAGACTGAGGGAAAAATTGAGCCTCATATGCTTTCAGATATTAGAACGCCCTCCAATCCAGAGCATCACCCTGTTATCTGAGAACATCAGATATACTGTGTTAGTCCTCTGGTTACACTTCAATTCAATTCCATTCAATTGAGCTCTACTCTTTTTTTCCCCCTGCAGAGGCAGTTGAGTAAATTTTCTTCCTTGCCACCTGAGCTTTCTGTTTAAAATGTACAAGTGGAAGTGATGGAATTTAAAAAAACCAAGGCCTAAATTGAAATCCATACAGATGCTATTGTAGCTCTGCACTGTATAGACTCCACCGAGAGCCTAGAAGAAAGAAAGACTTCTTCACTTCCTCACTTAGTGCCGTTAATATGTGTGTTGGGTCAGGTCCTCTGAACACAAACCGCAGTGTTTCAATAAAAGCCACAGTCCTGTTGACCACTCCATTGACCAGCATTGTGTCCTGCTGTGCCTGTTTGATGGGGTCGAGACCAACTGTGGTTCACACTCTGTTCTGCTGGAATTAAAGCGCTGCAAGATTGGTCACCACTACACACCACTGTTTAGCTCAAATTGGCTGCAAGAGGGCAATTCAGGAGCAAATAGGCTATTTCCCCGAAGCACAAACATGGATTGAGTGTAAACTGAAAAGCCGTCTTTGTTGTATAACACATGTATAATACAGGAAGAGGTTTCTGAGGTGATTAGAGCGCGAGAGACTTTATTTTAAAATAACTTGCCATTTCCTCCCATTAGAGTCGGCTGCTCATGAGTCAGTTCAAGACAAAATTGAACATTAACAGTTTTAACAATATTTTTACTCTGTGTTAGAAGTGTGAAAAATCACACTTACTGTCAAACCAGCCGAGTTCCTAATTTCACTGTTTTGCACTCCTGAACGGAATGAAAGTGAAATACATGTAATTTCTGTTTTCCTAACTGGATGAGGAGGGTCTGGGGGTCAACAGGACTTGGTTATCATCAGAAAATGGAGTTGATAGGCAGAATATTTTTAAGTTAATCAAATTCTTGCAGGAGATCAGGGGCAGGTTGGTTGCTAATAAAAAAATGGGATGAATTAGTTTGTCTCTGAAATTTGTTAAAACCTCAGATTATTACACACTGAATTCCATTTACAATTTCAATCCTTTTTTTTCTTCTAAAAACACAACAACCATAAATGACCCCAAAAATAAATGTTGCTTTATTTTTTAATAAACATTGAGAAATAAAATCATGCGTGTGTGTGCGTGTTGAGAGGGTGGTCTATAATGCACACAGATATTACAACGATATATTTTTGGTTGTTGTTGGACAATAATTATTTCAGGGAAGCATGATAATCTATAGAATATTTAGGTTGTATTTGCTAAATTGATATAAATGTAATTCAAATGGTTCAAAAAAATCTGCTTAATTATGTCCTCAGAACATCAGAAGCCAAATCTATGACCCCTTTTCTTATCCAAATGTTTTGATTGAAGTTATTTAATGAAATAGATTTTTTTATTCATCCATTAGGTGGTAAAAGGTCCACACAGACTCAAATCATCTGACTCATGTGAAAATGAACACATTTAAAGTGTTACTCTTTTCTGATTTTCTAAACAAAATGTGTCAAGGCTTGAATTAATTTGAGTTAATTAATAGACAAACAGAAAGTCATGACTACAGTCGGCTGGCTGATTAGCTGAAAATGATCCTGGATGATCTGTTTTTCTATCCAGTAATAATAGCTTTCTAATTTAAAGAGACCTTTAGAAGACAGGGGCAGTAAATAATTAAAGGAGGTGACGTGGGATGAAATAGACAGAGGAGCTTGTAACATCAGGAACAGCTGGGGAAGAGAAGTAAAGGAAGGGAGGAGAAGAGGGCAAGATGCCGGAAAATATGAAGAATATGGGAGGGGAATTAGAGGAGAAACAAATTGGCTGATCTTTGTCAGGAACGCCGTAATCCATTAAAAACATCACTGGAGGCTACGTCCCCCCTTAACAGTTGGTTACTTAGGTAGGGTATACTATATATAACTCTGTAGCCCAAAGATGAACAGATGTGCTTCTCAGAACCGGCTGCCATTGACATTTCAAAGGCTGCTTTGGGGGGTCTTTTGCACCTTACCATATGACACTGATGGCAGGCGGTGTTGTTTGTTGTGGAGAAAGAAAGGATGATTAACTGCAAAAAAAAAGAAAAAGAAAGAAGTGCTCTTTGACACCACATTGTCGAGGACAACATGGTTATTGCTAATAGCCGTCCATCGGCACCTGCATTGAGAATATATATATTTTTAAATCCATGGAGGGTGGCATTCAAACCATGAAATCCCTGAAGCCGTCAGCTTGTCAGGACTTGTAGCTGTTGTGAATGGCTAATGTTGCTTGTTAGCATGGTGGGCATGGTCTTGCAGAGAAGCAGGAGGTTGGGGTAGTGGAAAGAGTGTCTATTGATCACTGTGAACCCTGCACAGCGGCGCGCTCCTGATGAGGTACCGCTTCTCTCTTAACACCACACATGACCTGCATAAAGGCCATCCATCACAGCACGCACTGGCCCATTTCTCCTCCTGTCACCAGCAGGGAAGAATTTTTTCGGTGTGTATGTGTCAACGTGCTTCTGTATGTGTGCCTATGTCGGCTAACGTCTGTATCTGTGAGTGTGTGTGTGTAATGAAGGGTGGTTTTCCACCCCAGGTGAGGCCAGAGAGGTTTGGGGTTGACCTAGTTTAGCTGTGGGAGAGAAATATCACCTCTGTGGAGAAGAGGTAATTGGCTGCCTCTGACTGTCCTTCTGGCTCATTGTGGACTGTAATAGGTAATTCACATAGGCCCTTTTAAAGACCTCAGTGTGTGTGTGTGTGTGTGTGTGTGTGTGTGTGTGTGTGTGTGTGTGTGTGTGTGTGTGTGTGTGTGTGTGTGTGTGTGTGTGTGTGTGTGTGTGTGTGTCTTTTTGAACCAGTATATACTTGTGTGCCTATAAAGCATCTCTGCATCAGTGGGTATATATCCAGGTAAATAAGTTCAGTCTTTGCATGCCCTGAGCGTGCTACCTGGCTGGGGTTGGCTGTAGTTGCTCTGTCTCTCCCTGTGTGATCCAAGGGTGAGGCGTAGCTCATGCGTGTAGTCAGGGAGGGTTTCGCGGGAGGTGTAAGAGCGGTGGTGGGCGCGGCCGTCCTCGCTCTCGTCAGACGAGCTGGTGTAGGACATCTCCATTTCATGGCGCCCCTTAGACAATGGCTGGTAGGGTTTACTGTCCATCTCCTCCATGGCTTCTAGCGCTCCGCTTAGTCACTCAGCACAGCCACGGCACAGAGCACAGAGTCTAGGGGTGAGAAAAGGATGGAGGGGAGGGGAGGAGAGGAGAGGACAGCAGGGAGGAAGAGGGATGGGCCAGTGGAGGAAAATGAAAGGAAACAGGGGGTTGAAAAGACGGAGTGGGGGAGAAAAATAGCACAAGAAGTGTGTTATTGAACACAGTGGAACAATATTGCAACATCTGCTCATTCCAATTACAGCAGACATTCATAAACAGTATTTGGCTCCTTTCATATTTCACACCAAAGGTTAGTTCCAAATCAATACACTCAGAAGGGACCGCGATGGTGGCCATTATGTCCGGATGTGTTTGAAGAGAAATTGGCTGAACACAAGCGCAGCTTTCTATTCTGTCAGTCGTTGTTTGTGTTTTCTTAAGCTACTGTATTGTGGCTTTATCTCTCTGTAACAGACAAACATTGACAAGTCCCAGATAAATCAACAAATTTGTAACTTAGTCCTCCCCCCCACCACTCTCTGCCTGTCTGTCACTCTCATTAAACACAGTGACTCACCCGATTCTTAAGTAATGATGAAACACCATTAGAAACCAGTCTTTACAGTGTCAGTGCCCTTCCAAACAGAGGAATGATAAATCAGCTCTTTCAGCTCCATTCAACTCAGACTCTCTTGTTCGTCTCTCAGCCACATCAAAATCTCCTTCTGATAACGTCCGGCACAATATGCCTATACGGCCTTAACCGATGATTGATTGGGACAACGATTATAGCGTAGAAGAAGTGATTAGAAAATACTTCATTCATATTAGTTCTCTTTCACCGTGCCCTGCCCGAGGCCTTTCCAGCATATTTCCTGCAGATATAAAGCTTCTAAATGGAGCTTGAGAGGGTCATTGCTCATAGAGACAAAGTGCTATGGTATTGACCTCTTCAGGGAGTCCTGTAGTCCATATATCAAAGCCATTAGAGCGTGCCTGCTCAATACCTCAGAGATCTGCAGCACCGGGTGATCACCACTATTCTGATACAAGTTTACAGCTGACCTTTCTACCACTGCAGTAATGCTTTTATTCCACCTGAAAGACTCCAAACCCCTGGCCTCACACTCACCCTCCTTATTCCCCACAAGCATGCACACGCACGGACCAGTTTTTCGAGCACACACGCCCCCACACGGCGACCACCCGCTGACCCCTGACAGCAAACAGTCAAAAAATGGGCCAAGTCGCTGGCACACTCATCCCACACACACCCTGACCCCCTGCAGACATTACCGTATAGCACAGATGATCTGTAAAAGTGCCTCTCTTTGCCTCTGCTTCCATCGTTTTCCTCAAGTTTTAGTATCGGACATTACATTGCCTTTGAAATGTATTTTGCATGCAATTATCTAAGTATTACTGTAGTGTGTTGTATGCTCCTTCACATACACTCACATGCGGTTCCCTGCAATCACGATGCCTTTCATTTTGATTGGCAGTAGTTATTGCTGGGAATCAAAGCCCACTATTATCTCTGCTGCCCTGTCAGAGTGGGATTGACTGGTGTCACCTTCTCTCTGGTGCGGCAAGGAGCGAGTATACATTACCCTGTGAGCTCTGAGCACGCTGGAGGCACTGACTGCTGTCTGTCTCCACAGAGGCTCTCAGTCCTGTTTCATGTCTGTCACACGTTTACACACGAGAATGAAAGCCATGCAATCCCGCATGTGAGAGCACCATCTTGTTCCCATCGTCTTGTGATTGCACGAACCCAGACGGCGAGTGATCATTTTTTCTTGGTACATGTAGTTCTGCTTGTAAAATCAGCGTGTAAAATATGAACTAAAGTCTGGTTGAAACACACCTCTCTGCTTGTTAACCCCCGTCTCCCTTTCATCCTTCTTTTCAGCATCCCCTCTGTCTTGTACCAGTCCACCTCTGCCCTCCCTCCTCCTTCCCTCACATCCTTTGCTCTCTCCCCCTCACGCTTTCCACCCTCCACCCCGTCCTCCGAGGCAGCTGCATTTAGAGAAGTAAGCCTGCTAGTGGGGGTTACACTCGCTAATTCTAGCCCACAGTGGGGCGCCCATTAGGGGGTTTGATTCTTGGTTTTGATGTCAAAACCTGAAGGTTGTTTCTTAGAGCCAAGCTCACATCAAACAAGACACATGGGCGTTCTGTAGGACAAGTCAGCATGTGCCATCTGAGCGCTGCACTAGCCTAGATTTACGGTTGAGGAATAGCCACCTTGGCGCACAGCGGGTGCAGTGGGGCTTGCTATGGGTTGATTTAAACACAAAAAGGCCACAGGGTTTGAGATTTTTTGAAAAATTAACACCATGCTCGAGTTCATATTTAATACAAGAATATTTGAAACGTTAACTACAAGATATTTATCATCCCTCCTTGGTTTGTGTAGTGCAGGTGGGACAACATATAGCACTGAGGGATCGTTTAGTAAAGAAAACTAAGTGCTTTACTTATTGCATCACCGTACTGCCAGTGACTATGAACGGATCTTAATCATCTCCATGCAAAACCCAGGTATTAAAAAATTCATAGACTGCGATGATTAATGTTTTATCTACCTATACTGCATGAGCTTCAGCACAGCGCTGTATGTAATGCTTACTTATTGAAATGCTGTTGACACAAAATGGAGCTCAATTAAGCGTTAAAGTAACAGTGAACAATTTTGAGGTGCATCTACTGTGAGTTTGTTTTGCGCTACAAATGGATTAACAGTGAGTTAAACAGAGACAATGTATGTGTATGTTATTGTTTGATTTTATTTCTAATTTAATCTAATCTATAATTCATCAGTGTGTAATGAACTCTTCACCGCTCGGTTTAAAATTAATACAAAGTGACACTGAACACTGAGTGAAACACATGCATCGCATTACATTCCTGCCTCCCCCCCCCACCCCAACCCTTTCACACAAACACACGGGAGTGATAATCCACAGTTACACAGCTGCAATAATATCAAATGGGACTCCTCCCACTTGATCCCTTCCTATCCATCCATTCATTCAACCAGTTGCAACCAAAGGCCAGTGTGTTGTTTTTTTTGCAAATCTGCTTAGAGAAGTGATAGATTCACAGTCGCTTTAAAAAACAGGATTTATGCTCCAAGTCATCTCCAAAGGGGCGGGTCCCTAAGATGTCCAACAACAACAACAATAGCACAAACAGCACAGCGGAGATCGTCATGCGTAAAGGCAAGGACCATGAGGGCAAGTCAAAAGCGATTTACTCTCTCCGGTCTCAAATGAATGTGCTGAAATCACAACGAACGGGAGGAGAAGAGCATGAGAGATGGGAGAAAAAGAGAAAAGGCAGAGCGAGGACTAGAGAGCCAGGCAGCGGCACAGAAATTGAGTTTCACGTCGGTAAATAAACAAGGAAGACGGGGAGAGCAGAGCGCCGTCCAACAATATTAGTTCCTCAGCTTATTGATACAGTATAGTTCCAGGATTACTAATACATTTCCACCATGCAGAGCAGGTCTTATTTTCATAACAGCCTGGAGACCCCCAGTGAGTAGGAAGCTACTATCTTTGTTAGCTCTGGCCTTTACACATTTTCCAAGAAGCTTGTTTGCAGAGAGGCAAGCCAATCCCGCTCACTAAACAGGCCTCGCAGGCCGCGGGAATGAAGATGAGAAACCGTGAGGAATATATGCATAAAAAAACTGTCACCGCGGATGCGTCTAAGTGAAGTCTTGAAAATTCCGTTGTTGGTTTGCAGGTTTTCATTTTGTCTACCATAATGATGGCTTAATCATCAGAAGGAGTCGAGGCGCAGTCTGCATGCTGCAAATGCAGATCCAGGCTACAGGTCCTGCGGGAGTAAACAGTGAGCTGTCAGAGAGAGAGAGATGCCTCTCCTGGAGTGAGGGTGTGTGTGTGTGTGTGTGTGTTTGTGAAAGTGTGTCTGAAAAGATGTGGGGGTATAGAGCTTAAAAAAATCTATCTGTTCTATTCGTTAGCACCGCCATGGCTCCTCAGGCATATGACAGGGACATCTCAGACAAGAAGCCCTGAAGGACCCACAGGACCCTGTTATACCTAAACCACCCGAAACACAACAAAACACAGCACCGCCCAGTGGGAGCCCTCAACTCCTAGCGAGAGAGAGAGAGAGAGAGAGAGAGAGAGAGAGAGAGAGAGAGAGAGAGAGAAGGGGATGAATGGAGAATAGGGATAAGAGAGAGATAGATAGATAATGAGAGATGGAGAGATTTCACAGTTAAAATGGGGGGAATTGAAGGATAGAGAGATTGCAGCGTGAGACATGGACTGATAGAGGGTTTTAATTAGTGGATAAGGGCGAGCTATCTGTGGGCGGCGGCGGCGGCAGCACTCTCGTCACGTAGTTGTGCTTTCATAGCTGACCAAGCCTGAAATCTCTTGCTGCTAATGCCGGGTTTACCAGCAGAACGCATACAGCCTTGTATACCCACACAAACACACACACACACACACACACACACACCCACACACACACACACACACACACACACACACACTCAAACACACAAGCCGCGACCTGCCCATACATTCTGTTGCCCTGAGAAGATTCAAAGATAAAAACCTCACTGACAATCAGTGACAGCAGACCAACTCTGTGCCCCCTGCACCCACACACACTTATAGCGTTTCACACTTAGCAACAAACAACGCACTTGAACGCCCACACGCCATAGAATCAACAGACTTTACTTGCCTTTTCAGTAAAGACTTGGAACTCTTTTCTCGTTGTTGTTTTTGTGTTTGCAGTGTCGTCTTTACCATTCAGCCTACCATTGCACTGCCTACCTCCATTCTACCTCACACCCAAGGACAATGCTTATGTACAAATCAAGTCATATAGGCCATCAAGTCTGAGCGTGTGCCCACTGATGTGAGAATAAAAGCCTGGCTGACCAAGCAGCAGATCACAGCCGCATGTGTGTGTGTGTGTGTGTGTGTGTGTGTGTGTGTGTGTGTGTGTGTCTTCTTGTGTCCGAGAGCGGATAGGTTCATGTCACAAGCTGTCAGGAAACCGAGACACCATCTTGG